TTCTCTGTGTAGCTTTGCGCCTGTCCTGGAACTCACTTGGTAGCCCAGGCTGGCCTCGAACTCACAGAGATCCACCTGGCTCTGCCTCCCGAGTATCACCTTAGTTTTAAGATTATGTTCTATGTTAATGTCTTCACTCATGTTTCCTGTCTGAAATTTCCTTCAGCTTACTTTTGGGCCATTTGACACTATCCTGAATGACAGAAGCCAGTTCTCTTCTCTCTATCAGACAGCACCCAAGGACATATCTCTTTCACATGGCATTGTCATTTTGATGGTTCATTTCAGCTGGACCTGGGTGGGACTGGTTCTCTTGGATGACCATAAAGGGACTGAGAGTCTATCAGACTTGAAAAGAGAGATGGACAGGTACAGAGTGTGTTTAGCTTTTGTAGAATTGATTCCAGACATCCCAGTTTCCTCCTACTATGAACCTTCAATAAAAACTCACCTGCAGATACAGAAGTCATCTGCAAATGTGGTTATCATTTATGGTGACCATGAATCATTACATGGTGCAATTATGGTTATAGCAGCACATGTATTGAACAGGAAAGTCTGGGTCTTGAAGTCACAGTGGGATGAAAATTCTCTTACTAAATCTCTTGTATTTGATACATTCCATGGGAGTCTCATTTTTGCACATCACCACAATGAGGTTTCTGATTTTAGGAAGTTTATCCAGACATACAATCCTTCCAAATACCCAGAGGACTATTTTCTTGCTAAGTTCTGGAACACATACTTCAACTGCTCTTTTTCTGGACCTGATTGTAAAATTTTGGATAATTGTTTACCCAATGCATCTTTGGATATGTTGCCTAAAAATGATTGGGAGATGGATATGACTGAAGAGAGTTACAATTTATATAACTCTGTATATGCTGTGGCTCACAGTCTCCATGAGATGACACTCAAACAAGTACAAATTCAGCCCCATGGAAATGGGGAGATATATACCTTCCCTTGGGAGGTAATTTCTTTTCCTTTATATTTTATGAAAAGCACTGTGACATATTAAGGTTTAATAAAAGCACTAGGAAAATGATTGTACACTGTGATAGATTTTGCCAAAATGTACCTGAGAGACTGTATGTAATTTATCATCTAGACATCATTGCAAAAGCATGTGTCATTGTTCATGCTGACTGGGTGGTAATAACAAGTGTCTATGCCATATCTACTTTGTGTTACAATTAACCTTAGAGGCTTCTCATGATAATATACTCAATTGAAACCCAAATATCTCTAAGTATATTTCACAATAGAAATGGGAGTACTAAATTCTAAATTTTCAAATGCTATTAGATCTTTATACTTCAAATTATGAAGCAAAGGTTATGTTACCTAACTGGTCATTTTAATACACATTGGACATAAAATCTCCATTTACAAACTGACAATTTGAGTAGATTACTTAAATATTTGGATGTGACTAGCACTTAAAACTGTGGATATTTTATTGAGTCAATATTCATTAATTAAATATTTCTATTTGTTTGCTTATTTGTTATTTTCTCTGTGTGTGAAATCTTTCTTTTGAAACTAACTGGCAGTATAGAAACATGATATATTCATTTTTGGTCTTCATCCATTAAAATGTTGATAGCTTATTATAGCTTGCCATTTATGCTAGAGATTTTGGACAATGAGACCCATTGCTTCATCAAATTCCATTGAAATTTTGTGGGAATTATTCAGTCATCAGATTATGCATCTCTTTTAGCTTCACCCTTTTCTCAAGAATATCCAGTTCAAAAATGGTGCTGGAGACCTTGTGGTTTTGGATTCACAAAGGAAATTAGATGCAGAATATGATATTATCAACATCTGGAATTTTCCAGAGGGCCTCAGAAAAAAGATGAAAGTTGGAACATTTTCTCCAAAAGCTCCAAAAGGGCAGGAACTGGTTCTGTCTGACCATATGATACAATGGGCTATGGCATTTACAGAGGTGCGCTGGATCTTATCTCATTGCTTTGATCTCTATGACAATAAACATTTGTTTGTGGATATAATGATTGTTGTTTCCTTACTCAGTGCCCATCTCAATGTACAAAAATAATGTCTTATGAGGAAGATTCTGTTTGCCTTATTCTGAGTAATGGAATTGTTTATTTTTCCATCATTTATTCTATGGGCATTAATTTGCAGTTATAAATATAGTGTCTATTTATTAAGATTTAATCCCTGCACTGAAACCAACTGACAAAAGCAATAACTAAGCTGCTAGATTAGGAACTATCAGTGCATGGGTATTTTGATTTCAGGCATTGGGCAATGCACTACTGGAGGGCACATATGCATTGGTTAATTGCTTGTCTTGCTGCTGAAAAGGAAGCAGTTTCTCTATGCATCACAACATACCTTAAGAACATAGATTTTACTTGTGTCACATTTGGGGTGAGCACTTGATAATAATTCAGGCAATCATGTTGGCAAGAGCCTGAGAATGTGATTCACGTTGTATCTTCAGTCAGGAAGTAGATAGAAGTGAACACTGCTCTTCAACTCTCTTTTTTTCTTTCAGGCCTTACCAACAGCCAATGAAATTTCGCTACATAATTACAGAATATAACTTCCCACTTCTAGTGCCATAACCAGATCATCTCGTATAGAAAGTTACAAAGATTAGTTTATATGATAATTCTGAATCCTGCCAAGTTGACAAATGTGAATTAAGCAACACCATTGGGAAACAAAGTTGCTCACTCCAGCTGTGAGGAAGTACAGAATAGGATCAGTGTGATATTACAGTTGCCCACTTTGATATGTACTCAGTAAACCAACGTCTTATATTTTCCTACCATTTGTATTTTCACAGTCCTTTATATTTCTGTTGTCTTTGGATCATTGTTGAAACAAATTGAACTTCATAGTGTATACTACATTGAAATGATAAGCAATGAAACAAAAAATAATCTGCAACCTATAAATAATAAATATAAAACTTTCTATCTCATTGTTCAATATGGAAAACAACAGTTTTATTGTTTTAAAACAGTACACTCCTGAGTGTTTTCTCTTCTATATTTACTTCCTAGATTCCTTATTCTGTGTGCAGTGAGAGCTGTGTTCCAGGATTCAGAAAATCTCCCCAGGAGGGCAAGACTGTCTGCTGCTATGATTGCACTCCTTGTCCAGCTAATGAGATTTCCAATGAGACAGGTAAGTGTCAGACTCACTGCGGAATTTCTCACCTCTAAACAATGTTCTGCAAAGTCTAAGAGATTGAAAAGTTCTGAGAATGAACATTTGAGATAAGTCCCCTTCTTCTCCCAGTTAGAATATAAATGTTTTGTTTCATTTTATCTTCATTTTAATTGATGCTCAGGCCATTGAAACTCATACTTGGTGTATGCTATTGATCCTCTACAGCCATTGTTGCTTTCAGAGAACAACTTTACCAATCTCAGAGTAGTCTGCTTTACTTCACCATGTCATTTCACACACACACACACACACACACACACACACACACACACACACACACGCGTGCTTGCATGTGTGTACACATTCACAAACTTTACAAATTACTGACTTTTCTTGTATTTCAAATCATATTTATCTCATAGTTAGCCCATCTTAAAGGGTTGGATCCTTATGGCCTTTAGTTGCATAATTTCAGTCATGGTTCTAGGTTCATTAGAAGTGTTAGAAAGATTGTATTTAATTTACACATGGTCATATTTGTAAGTGTTTTATTTTATAATCCTTCATTTTGTTTTATCTGTGAATATATTGCCTGCATTCATGTATGTGTACCATGTACCTACTTGGTGCAACTCAATGTTAAATGTGGCATCAGATCACCTGTAGGTTGCGTCACATGTAAAATGATCCACCCTGTAAGTGCTTGCAATTGAACCCAGGTCTTCCTTAAGAGGAATAGGTATGCTGCTAATATCTTGTGAAACTAGGTGACATGGCACATCAACACTTTTGTTAATGATAGTGTTGTGAATAAACCAGGTATAGATACACACCTTTGTTCTTAGAACAAGTCAGGACACTGAATATGAAGGACTGTCTTTTCCAGGCAACGGTAGATATAGTAGAGAATCCTTATGTCAAAATATATCCAAGAAACATAAAACAGGTATGAGACAAATGATAGCAGTGAATATAAGGAGCACATATACTCACAATATTTACTATGGAGAGAAACATAAAGGGGATTCCTCAACTTTATCATTTATATCAAATGAGTTGATTTGTATAATAGCTGGAATTTTTTGAATGAATAATGGTTTTCCTGAACACTAGATGTTTTAATATTAATTCATGAAGTTTAAAACATTCAAACTTTCTGGTGACTTTATTTTGCCTATTTTTAAATTAAGCATATTGAAACTGACTGTACAGTACCTCAAAAACTTAATGTGCAAACAGCTTTGTGTACATTGGAACCACAGTTTGTTCATGCACATGTTAGTTATATTCATTGGAAGAAACTAGAAACATCAACATCAAGTACTGCATCACTGCAGTTTAAAGAGATACTTTTTAGTAAGATAGGAAAAATACTAAAATGTAAGTGCTAATATTTCAGAACAGTGAATCCTGTACTTTAAAACCTATATAATGAGGCAAATCTATCTTTTAATAAATTATTTTAAATTTATTAAAAATATTTGTCATGACTGATATACCCTGTGCATTTACTAAAGAAGATATAAGGTTGTGCTTATAAATCATTCATGCTCAGTTAGAAATGGATAGATGTCAGCACATGGGATATAGATCAGGAGAGTACCTTGTGAGTGAGTGGGTAGAAGGAAGGCACATCTGAAGAATTAACAAATTAAATGATAATAGAATAAAAAGTATTGAGGGTAATAGAAAATAATAAATTCAATAGACTTTAATCAATTACAAAATCCACATTGCAAAAATATTGAACATTTTTAATAGAAATATGAGGAGCCAGGCAATGGTGGAGCATGCCTTTAATCCCAGCACTCAGCAGGCAGAGGCAGGTCTATGTGTTTGAGGCCAGCCTGGGCTACACAGTGAGTTCCATGACAGGCTCCAAAGCTACACAGAGAAGCCCTGCCTCACAAAACCGAAAAAAATGAAATAGGAATATTCTTAATGTAAGTATGTAGCAAATATAGTGATATTTATATCTTTTGAATTTAAGATGAAACTCACAAGTTATACATGATAAAGTATCAAAAAATTATTCCATGACCAACTAAGACTAACTAGAGTTTTATATCTATTTTTTTAAATAGATTTTTTCTCTCTAGAATTGATTAAACAGGTTGACACAGGAAGTTTTTTGTGGTTTAAAGAATCTAATAATTCTCATTCCACAAGCACTGTCAGAAAACAAACACACTGGAGTATTCAATAAACATATGGGAAGTTGCTAAGTTTGAGTCTGATGCCTGAGAACAACATTACAAGAACGAAATTTCAGTGATTCAGTGATCAAGTTAGGTTTATGTAATTTAATCCAATAACATGACTATATGAATACATAAAAAAGCATTTTATCATTTAAATGAAATATATTTAAGTATAACAATATAAAAGATAGACTTGTTATGATAGGCAGTATCAACCTGAAATGATTGGTTAGAAGCATTTGGGAATTTTCACTATAGAGGACTGATTTACTTGAGTCTTGAACAACACAGAAAATGTGGGCAAATACCTTACAAAGCTGGTGCTGGGAAGTGGCTTGAGATAAAAGGCAAACCTGAACAGAGACTCATAATAACTTTAATTCCTGAATAGATATGGATCATTGTGTGAGGTGTCCAGAAAGTCATTATGCAAACACAGAGAACATCCACTGCCTCCAGAAAGTAATGACATTTCTGTCCTATGAAGACCCTTTGGGGAAGGCACTCATCTGCTTGTCCCTTGGCTTCTTTGCATTTACAGCTGGTGTTTTGGGGGTCTTTGTGAAGTATTACCACACTCCCATTGTCAAGGCCAACAATCAGGTTCTCACTTACATCCTGCTCATCACTCTGATCTTCTGTTTTCTCTGTCCATTGCTCTTCATTGGCCATCCCAACACAGCAACCTGTATCCTGCAGCAGAGCTCATTTGGAGTCCTGTTCACAGTGGCTCTCTCTACAGTCTTGGCCAAAACTATTACTGTGGTTCTGGCTTTCAAAATCACATTTCCAGGGAGATTGATAAGGTGGATAATGATATCAAGGGCTCCTAACTTCATCATTCCTGTCTGCACTTTTATCCAGCTTGTGTTCTGTGGCATTTGGCTGAGCACCTCTCCTCCCTATGTTGACTCAGATGCTTACACTGAACGTGGTCACATAATTATTATATGCAACAAAGGCTCCACTATTGCCTTCCATTCTGTCCTGGCTTACCTATGCTCCATGGCACTTGGGAGCTACACTTTGGCTTACCTGTCCAGGAACCTGCCTGACACATTCAATGAAGCCAAGTTCATCACTTTCAGCATGCTGGTGTTCTTCAGTGTGTGGCTCACCTTCCTCCCTGTCTACCACAGCACCAAGGGGAAACTCATGGTGGCCGTGGAAGTCTTTTCCATCTTAGCTTCCAGTGCAGGCGTCCTAGGTTGTATCTTTCTGCCCAAGTGCTATGTTGTTTTGTTCAGACCACAGATTAATGTGCTTTATCATGTCCGAAACAAAGCACCTTAAGAGGAAAAGTCAAACATAAACTTAGTTTATGATTTCTTAATTACACAGAAGTCTTCAAGCCTGTTTAACACAAACTCAATTGTCAGAGATCATATAGCAATTAAGAATTAGTATAAAATGCTTTCATTTATTGATGAAATCCATCCTTATTCTCTCATCTTCTAATATTTTCTACATATTTCTCTAAATTAAAAAGCTTATTTCTATAAAAATTCATTGTCTGTCTCAAATAATATTAAAGAAAAGATGAATGGGACAGGAATATATTCTTCACTTCTTCAACATTGTGGAACTTTGCCTTCATAACCCCAAACTTTTTCATATGTATCCATGTGTTTTTGATGCCCTTGGTATGTTCCCAGGATTCATTGTGCTTACATTATATGCATGATTTTTCTATGAAGGGAGGCACATTTTGAAAAGTGCATATGATTTGGACATGAAGATATTACTTGGCAAAATAATGACATAATGTGCTGTATACTAGAGCAGAATAAAGAAAATTCATTTCTTAATTGAGCTCAAATCAGTCAATTCCATGGCACTATTTCTGTAAAGCCTAAGGTTATGTCTACCTTTGACTATAGATATCCGAATGGTTCATGTACTCAGTCATTCATAATTATACAATTTTGATAAATTGCTCTATATTCTTTCATCTGAAACTGTGTTTTATGTAAATCCTGCATCTTTATGAGTACCCATTTTCCATAGTTTATCAACATTTCATATAAGATATGTAATTCTTTGGGAATAACTTTTCTGACTTTTCTTATTTCTTGTGAAATGTACACTTACATAAATGTCTGTTTGCCTTGTATCTTGTTATTTGCTTTAATAAGTCATTTTATAGTTCACAAGTTGTAAACTTTCAAGAATAAGGTAGAGAGTACATTATATATATTACTATAATATAAAATTCCTGTCAGAGTTTTTCATTTTTATTATACATTGTGTATTTTGTGTATGTATTATGGTATCTAGATTAGTGGTTTTATGAGATTCCTGAGAGTGTGAACCTGTGGGTCTCTGTGGCTATATCTGTTTCTTATGTACTTTCTTGAGAATTTTCCCAAGACCCACTACACCAACACGATAGATGCACATATGCCCTCACAGAGACTGAGACAACATACACAAGGCCTGAACTGGTTCTTAATAACTGTGGCCATAGTGCCTGAAATATATATATAATTACTAAAATATATTACTATAATATAATAATATAATATAATATAATATAATATAATATAATATAATATAATATAATGTAATATGATATGATATAATATAATATAAAAGTCAGATTCCATTTTTGAGAATGGGTTCATTAGGTTGATATTTAAAAATCATTTCTGTACAATAATTTGTGATCATGGTTTCAGAACAATGAAACAAAGTATGTAGAATGCATGGCAATGTACACACATTCACACGCACACACACAAACATACATTCACACACAGGTGAAAAGCTTACAACATACAATACTGCAATAGTGGCATAGATCTTGGGGGACTAACAAATCAACCAACATCTGAGTTGACTTCTGGTACACTCCATGAAATGGAAGACATACCTGACGCTTTTTTTTTGCTTCATAGCACCTGAAACTAGACAGCACAAGGGCCTAGGATAAAACCAAATACAACAGTTCTAGTAGAGGAACATAGCAATGAAGTAACTCCTAATAGCATTCTGGAATATATCAGTGCCTTCTTCAACTGTTATCAAAGAAGATCCCACCTGAAGCAAATGAGAAACAATATAGAGACCCACAGCCAGACATTATGCTGAGAATGATAGACCTTGGACATCTCTGCCCTAAATTGTATGCCTCCTTTTACTCCCTCCCCTCAGTACCCAAGGAACACTGTGGCAGATGAGGCAGAAAAGGTGCTGGATACAGAAGCATTAGAGGACACCAATAGAACAAGACCCACTACACCAACAAGATAGATGCACATATGCCCTCACAGAGACTGAGACAACATACACAAGGCCTGCACTGGTTCTTAATAACTGTGGCCATAGAGCCTGAAATTGGAAGTGTTTTGCATTCTTCCATTTCTAACCCAGTAGCTATTTCCAACTGTTCTGCAATCACAAATGAAAGTCTAGTTTTCTCTAAGAGGATAATAAAAGACAATAAAAACTTAAATATAGGACGCAAAACTAGAACTACATTGCATAGAGAGTACAAATTCTCTGTTGTTTTTGGAGATTCCTTGAATCATTAATGTCCTGTCAGAGTTTTTCATTTTTATTACATATTGTGTATTTTGTGTACGTATTATGGTATCTAGATTAGTGGTTTTATGAGATTCCTGAGAGTGTGAACCAGTGGGTCTCTGTGGCTATACCTGTTTCTTATGTACTTTCTTGAGAATTTTCCTTATCAGTGGTAGTTTTGTACTATTCTGATATGTTAGTTTTTGTTTCATATACTACCTTGCATTATATTTTACAAGTATTCCTTAGAAACCTGATTGTTTTCTAATGAGAGATAAAATGGGATTTGATCCAAACATGGAGAATATTGAGAGGGAACATGGAGAAGAAGAGAGTAGGGAAACTGTATTTAGGATATGTAATTTAAGAAAAAGAGGTATTTTCTAAATATAAAGGAAAGTTAAAGATGACATAAAATATAATTGGTCTTAGGTTTGGTCTTTTCATAAACTCGCAGATTTTCTGCACATTTTGTGTTATGACTTTGTTGACTTTATGTTTTCTTTACAGAGGAATGCATTTCCTCTATTGTATCTTCAATGCCAAAGATTCTCTCTTCCATCTCTTGTATTCTATTGGTTATGCTTATATCTGTAGTTCCTGTTCATTTACTCAGATTTTTTCCATTTCCAGCATTCCCTCAATTTGTGTCTTCTTTGTTGCCTCTACTTCAGTTTTCAAGACTTGAACTGTTTCCTTCACCTGTTTGATTGCTTTTTCTTGATTTTCTTGACTTTCTTTAAGAGACATTGATTCCTTTCAATTTTTCATTTGTCTTTTCCTCAATTTCTTCAAGGGATTTTTTTCATTTATTCTTTAAATGTATCTATCATTTTCATAAAGTCATTTAAACGTAGTTTTCTTCTGCCTGTTTTACACTGGGTTGTTCAGGTCTTATTGTACTAGAACAACTATGTTCTGGTAGTGCCATATTACTCTTTGTATTGCTAAATGTATTATTGCACTTGCATCTACCCATAACTTCCTCCTGTCAGTGCAAATGGTGTCTGTGTCTCATGGAGCCACTCTGGATCCAATCAACGTGGCAGCATTTGTGTCTCAGGAAGCTGCTGGGGTCTCAGGTGGATGGGTGTGTTTGGGGGACAGAGTGTAAGTTAAAGTGTCTAATGGGGTGTGGGACGTGGGAAGGCCTGTCCTCAGGATTCTTGCCTGCTTCCTGCAACTGAGGCTGCAATAGATAGGTGTATGGGGGCACTGGTTGTGTACCTGGGCCTAAGGTCTAGAGGATGTGGTGATTGGATAGGAGAATGGTAACTCACATTTTTGTCCAAACAGAGCTGGCTGAGCCTGTGTCTCAGGGAGCATCTGTAGCATAGCTATACTCTTGGGGAATAGGTGGGTTTGGGAGTGGATTGGGCTTTATCGGTTACAGGGTTCAAAGTGGAGGTGGTAGTCAGTCAGTCCTGCATGGAGGAGATTTGCCTGCTGGCTTGCAACTGGGGTTGCAATTGGTAGGAGTTTGGAGGTACGAGTTGTGCCCCTGGGCCTAATGCCTACAGGCTGGGTGATCAGCTAGGAGAAAAGTGACGCACCTCTTGGTCCAATCAGAGCTGGCAGAGTCTGTGTCTCAGGGAGCAAAAATACTCAATAAAATACTGGCAAACCAAATCCAAGAACACATCAATAAAAATCATCTACCGTGATCCAGTTGGCTTCATCCCAGAGATGCAGGAATGTTTCAACATATGACAATCTCTAAATGTAATTCATCATGTAAACAAACTAAAAGAAAAATGCTACATGATCATTTCATTAGATCCTGAAAAATTCACAAAATCCAACACCTCTTCATGATAATGGTCTTAGAGAGATAAGGAATACAAGGAACATACCTAAACCTAATAAAGGTAATTTCCAGCAAGATGACAGCAAACATCAAATAATGGAGAGAAATTCAAAGTGATTCCACTAAAATCAGCAATAAGACAAGGCTGTATACTCTCCCCATATATATACACAATATAGCACTTCACATTCTAGCTAGAGCAATAAAACACCAAAAGTAGATCAAAGGGATACAAATAGGAAAGAAAGAATTCAAACTTTTGCTGTTTGCAGATGGTTGGATAGTCTACATTATTGACTCCAAAAATTCTAACAAGGAACTCCTACAACTGATAAACATCTTCAGTAATGTGGTGGCATATAAAATTAACTCAAAAAAATCTGTAGCCTTCCCATACATGAAAGAATAATTGGCTGAGAAAGGAATCATCACCCTTTTTGATAGCCAAAAATAATATAAAATAACTTGGGGTAACCCTTACCAATCAAGTGAAAGACCTGTATGATAAGAACTTTAAGTCCCTGAAGAAAAAATTCAAAGAAGACACCAGAAAATGGAAAAATCTCCCATGCTCATGGATATGTAGAACCAACATAATAAAAATAGAAATCTTACCAAAAGGAATCTACACACTCAATGCAATTCACATCAAATCACAACACAATTCTTCACAGCGTTTGAAAGAAAAATATTCAACTTCATATGGAAAAAATAAACCTAGGATATTTAAAAGGTCCTTTACAATAAAGCAATATCAGGAGGTATCACCTTCCCTGACTTCAAGCACCACTACAGAGCTATAGTAATAAAAAGCAGTTTAGTATTGGCATAAAAAAGACATGTGGACCAATGGAATCAAATTGAAGATCCTGACATTAAACCACACACCTATGAACACTGACTTTTGATTAAATAAAAAGCCAAACCCATAAAATGCAAAAAAGAATACATCTTCAACAAA